TGGTCTTTTTATCCAAATTACACTGAATAATTAGAAAAATACATGTATATTTTTACAAAGAGTAAAAAATGCTTGAATCTTCTAAATATGACAACTGGCTTTGAGTAAGGTACGAGTTCTAGGTAAGCAATTAATCATAACAAAAACCAAGATTAATGAAAGGAAATAACATCAACATTTATAACTTAGTTTAAACCAAAACTAGCATTATTTTATCATTTAGGAATACACCAAGTGAAATATTAAATATCAGAAACCATTAAAAAATCTAATTATAAAAGAGTTTAAGGAACAAAAATGAGAGAAATTTTGTTACTTTGGGTGCTGGATTGTCAATGGAGTTGGAAATGAGCATGTCTGATGTCCACGTGAATGAATTCTCAGGTGAAATGTACACATACGAATCTCAAACTTCATCTTCTTGAATTTTGTAGCATAGGAGCAGTTTACAAGTACCTGGATACAGTCTTTTTCTTCAGTTAATGAAATTATCTGGGTCTTTTTTCCCCCTTAGGGGAACACTTTGCAACTAATTCAAAATTTTTAGAAATCATATTGAGAAGTCCATGTTTGCCGGGTGTGGGTGCATTCCTTTAAACCCAGCACTAGGGAGGCAGAGGCAGGCAGATCTCTGAGAGTTCCAGGCCAGCCTGGTCTACATATTGAGTTCCAGGCCAGCTGGGGCTACAGGGAGACACTGTCTCAAAAAAAAAAAAGTCCATGATTTTCTAAGCCAAGCCAATTATTACTTAAGAAAACCTTTTTTCTTCTTGTAAACAGAGAATCAAGTATTAATTTTACACCAGGGTATTGAATTTTGACCTTAAAAAATTTAATAACCTTTATGCTATAATCAATTTAGTTATTATCCTATCTATATTCTTTAAGTTTAATTTTTCTTAGTCTTTCTACAATATACTTTAGTCTTTTAACATTATTTTCATCCATTTCCATTTTGGAACAATATGTATCTTACCAAAGTCCCTTTTAATCCAAAATCTTTTTGTTAGCCTTCCTTTACCTATAGATACATCATAAATATATGCATATATATTTATGATAAATATATCATACCTATAACCTTTTAATCTCTGTTTTCTTTATCTTGATTGTTTTTATATAAAATTTAGAAAACATTTTTTAGTCTTTTTGAGACAGGGTCTCCCTGTAGCCTCAGCTGTCCTGGAACTCACTCTGTAGAACAGGCTGGCCTTGAATTCACAGTCACAGAGATCCTCCTGCCTTTGCCTCCTGAGTACTGGGATTAAAGGTCTGTGCCACCACGCCGGATAAAACATTGTAATATGTAATTTTTTTTTTTTTGGTCTTTTGAGACAGGGTCTCCCTGTCGACAAAAAAAAAAAAAAAGATAATTTTAAATGAAAATCCAGGAGCTGTATCTAAAACATAGGAAACATATATATGGTATCTTAAATATCTAACAGTAATAAATACAGGTAAAACATATTAATAGTCTTAGTCTTGTTTTTCGCGAAAATTTTAAACTAATTATTTGGTAAAGATATGCCATTATAAGAGCGCCCTTTAAGCTCTGCCTCCCAAGTGCTGGGATTAAAGGCATGCGCCACCATGCCTGGCAACATGGTAATTATTTTAAAAAAGATAATTTTGCCGGGTGTGGTGGCATATGCCTTTAGTCCCAGCACTCGGGAAGCAGAGGCAGGCAGATCTCTGAGAGTTCC